TTCAGTGTTAGGCGAGTTCATGCATCCCTGTGAAGATGACATCGTTTGTAAATGTACCACAGAGGAGAACAAGGTGCCGTACTTCAACGCTCCTGTGTTTTTAGAAAACAAAGAACAGATTGGGAAAGTGGATGAGATATTTGGACAACTTAGAGATTTTGTATCCTTTCTAATGGGCTGAGCCAGTGATCTCATCCAGGAATTATTGTCCCTCCCCTCCCCAGCCAGGTAAGTATCAGCTAAAGCAAACTCACTGCTTCGTTTAGTAGATAGCAATGCTACAGGTAGACCATAAGGAAGACTGTAGGAGAGAATGCCTTCACCCACTGACTTTATGGAAAGTTCTAGGAATGGAGGCCGTTTGGATATAAGCCGCAGGATTGTATTTGCGCTGCTGCTGCTTTACAGATGATGGCGCCTCTAGACTATCATGATAGGATTGGGAGGTACTGATTTTTTTTTTTAAATTATGGTTTTTAAAGAAAATATCATTTCCTCTTGGAAGTTTCTTGATTTCTTATAGCCAGGCATTCTTTTTAAAATGCTTAAACTCAAAAGTTTATTATCTTTTTACAACTTTCTTTCTTACTTGTTCCTTAATTATAATTAATAGTATTTTTCAGTCAAACTATCAGAAAACATGAAGGCATCGTCCTTTAAAAAGCTCCAAAAGGTGAGTCAAACTCATAATTAAAATTCTTAGATTCGGAGGAGAATGGTGCATGCTTTAGGGATAGTCTTAGGGGAGGCAGTTACGGCTCCTGCACTGTGCTTCAGTGGGGCTCTGCAGCTGGTGTGTAGTAACACAGGCATTGAGTCTACGTTCCTGCAAGTGTCTGCTGTGGCCCTGGTTGGCTGGGACCTCACTTGTTGAGATTAGGTTGGCTTCTGATCTGATGTGCTCTTCCTGCCTTCACCTCTGAGTCCTGGGATTACAGGTATGGGCTTTTACACCTCTAAACTTACTAGTCTTGAAAAGTAATGATTTAGCCAGGCATGGTGTTGCAAGCCAGTAGTCCCAGCACTTGGAGCCAGAGAGGCAGGAGGGTAGTTGCTTTGAGTCTAGCTTAAGCTACATATTGAATTCCAGGCCATCTTGAGATACTTAGCAATCATCTGTCTCAAAAGCATGTAAGTTACTTGGTAGATGGAGATAGATACTAAAAGGTTCCATAGGTATTTCGTTAACATGGTATATTCTGTTTAAAAAAAATTAAATGGTTGCCATGAAACTCTGTAGTGGGGCCATATTTAATTCTAGCCTTCCTTGAGGTGGTACTTTTGAAACTGAAAGCTCAGAATTAACCAGGAAAGATTTTTACATCTCAGATATCTGAGGACAGCTCTTAAGATGTCATCCTTTTAGGTCCCCTTTTTTTTTTTTTAAATATTTATTTATTTATTATATATACAATATTCTGTGTGTATCCCTGCAGGCCAGAAGAGGGCACCAGACCTCATTACAGATGGTTGTGAGCCACCATGTGGTTGCCGGGAATTGAACTCAGGACCTTTGGAAGAGCAGGCAGTGCTCTTAACCTCTGAGCCATCTCTCCAGCCCCCTAGGTCCCCTTCTTATAAATTTGACCCAGTTGCCCTTAAGTAGCATCCACCGTGCAGTTTCAAGAAAGAAGCTAGAGAATTTTGATGTGGTTAGGCCAGTACTTACACACTGAGCTAGCAACAGCAGAAGGTGGGTTCTGCATAGAGAAAACTGGAGCATCAGGATGGCAAACTGCAGAAGGCTCTGATGGGTCTAGACCGTTTAGCGTGGGTGGGGAAGGTTCTTGAATTAAAAGGCTGGTGAGATAGGAAGGAGCTTGATAAGCTATGAGACAGATTAGGTTTTAGTTTTAGCATTGTTTCTAAATAATAGGGTGAGCTTGATCTTTACGTTTGTGCTTATAAGAACACTGGCGAAACCGAAAAGCCCGTTGGAAAGGGGTGAGCACTCTTAGAAAGGGCCAGTCCTGTAGGCTGTACAAAGCCAGGGATGCTGTGGGCTAGATGTAGAGTCCACGAAAATGAGAAGAGGCTGCGGGGATGTGAACATACATGAAAAATCAGTGGGACTTGGTAATAACTCAACCAACCATTTTTTAGAAGTTTGATTTTGACATCTTTGTGGGTTATGATCCCACTTACTGACTTGGGCAGCATTGGAGAACATAGGTTGAGGTAGGATGGTGAATTTCATTTGGGGCACAATGAGATAGTCAAAAGATGAGGACTTCACAGGACCGGAGTATAAATAAAACTGGGAAGTTGTTGATATACAGACATAGGCTATGAAGAATGGAAGCAGTAGAGTTCTCATGAGAGCCTCAGGCCCCGTCCCAAATTTAAATGTCTTAGTGCAGGCTGACACAATTGCAAGGAAAGGGGAGGGGCACATGCATGTTGTACACACAGTCCCTAAAGTAGAACAGTTTTCAGGGGGGTGCACGTAGCACTCAGTGGGTTTAGGAACAGCGTGTTAGTCGGGTGTCAAAGAGCTGGGGGAGTGGTGGTTCCAGAAGCCAGGTCAGAACAGAAAATTAGGTGGAGACAGTGACTTGCTGATAGCAAGTGGCACTGATTGTAGATAGCTCTGAAAGGGGTGTTTGGAGCTGAAGAGCCTAGAGAGAGACAGTGCTGAGGGCTTCTCATGGCTGTGTGACTTGAAAGTAGAAAGTTACCTTAGAGACCCTTGAAGCCATGCTGATCCCTGCCTTTCTTACTGCAAGATTACTTGAGGATTTCTATAGTGATATAAGCCCTCCCAATCCCCATCCCTTGTTTTCTATTTTGTTTTCCAGTCTACTGGTGTTTTGGAGTTCAGGTTCTCCTTAGCCAGCCTAGGTTGTTACAAAGTCTAAAGATAGCATTTTGACCTAATTGTACTTTCTGTGATGGAGTTAATTCAGTAACAGTTAGTCACACAGAGCACTGAACACATTGAATATCCTGACATATCTCAGGAACTTAAATTTAATCTCATGTCAATTCTGATCATTTTTTTCTTGTCAGCTCTCTTAAATGAATATGTAGATTTTTGGAGACATGTATCACTAAAAAATGAGATTGAATTGACTCTAGTTTTTTTGTATGTATACAATCTAAAGCACTGATTTATGTATCTTATGATCTCCATGGAACTTTATAATTGGCACTACATTTTTATACATAAGAAAACTAGGTAATTAGAGGGGTGGGGGAAGTCCTTGCTCAGAGCTGTGTATGGGATTTGAACCTAAGTAGGCTGGGCTATCTAACTGCTACTGTTCAACTTTCAGTTTTATATAGATCCGTATAAGCTGCTGCCATTGCAGAGGTTTCTACCTCGTCCTCCTGGCGAGAAAGGACCTCCCAGAGGTGGAGGTGGTGGTGGCAGGGGAGGTCGAGGAGGAGGAAGAGGAGGTGGTGGCCGAGGTGGTGGAAGAGGTGGTAAGTTATTGTGGGGTTTCTAATGAGGATTGATTTATACAGTACACTTTAGTTTAGCATGTAACCAGACTTCCCTTACCTTTATTTCTCTTACATATTGCCCATATTGTTTCCACAGCTTCAACAGAGGAAAAAATTTAATTTTACCTTTGCAAGATTTCAGACCCTTGGATTATTCTTGTTTTAATAGAGATTTTAATAGAGACTGTCACCCATTGCTTAATAAGAGATTCATTTTGAGAAATGCAATGTGGGCAGTTTCACTATGTACACTTAGACAGATCCTCATGTAGAGCGTGATCGCTCAGCATGGCTTCTTAGTGCAGTGGAGGGTTGTAAGGTGGAGGCTAATGCTGGTGAAATGGGGCAGGCTGCTTTATGATTAGCTTCTTGCGAAAGGGATGTACTGAAGAGTCACAGTATAAAGGGAAGTAAAGCAGTTGTTTTTAACCACTGTCAGGCATTGGCTGCTGGACACAAGTAAATGTGCTGTGCTCTTAGATGACTAGGCTTACATATTCCAACAGTACTGTGAGCGTGGGAGTCATGTCTTGCTCTACAATGTGAAAATGTAGGGTTTTCTAGGTCCGTTATTATTTTAGGAGACTTATATGTTATGCATGAAGCGCTATTTTGTATTTTATGTATAAAAATTTCCTAACCAAATTGTAGTTTCTTAAGTTATCAATGAGTATTTTGATTTTATATGCCAAGGGCTACCCTTATGTCTACTTAATGTCTAAGCATATTCTTTTAATTTTTCTAGCAAGTTTTCCAATGACCTTCATGTGCATGCTCTAGCACGCATACATGCACATACATGTACATATATACACATACATACACATGCAGAAAATACATGTGATGTGGAAAACAGGAAAGGTGGTGATCTTGAGTTAACCCTACTGCTCCACTTGGGAAACTGCTATTTCTTCATCTTTATCTTTTAAAAGTTATTGTAAAACACAATAGATGAACCTGTATTTAGTCTTTATGATTATAGGAATGGCACAAGTTTTACAGCTTATCAGAAAATGAGAAGCATCATTATTTAACAAGTATTTCTTTTTTAAGGTGGCTTTAGAGGTGGAAGAGGTGGAGGTGGGGGCTTCAGAGGAGGAAGAGGAGGTGGTGGATTCCAAGGTGAGTATGAGGAAGATGCCTTTAAATAACTGGATTTGTAGATCGATGCTGTCTGTTCGTTTCTTTCCGTTTAGGTTTATTTCTCTTCCCAACAAGTATGGCAAACACTGGGATGTTCTTGGCTTTAGCTTAATTTATGGCTCCACTCTCTACCATTACTTACTAATTTCTCACCAAATTACTTTGTTATGTTAACCATTCAAAAACAAAAAATATATGAATGGCAGTTGTATTTGGTAATGTAAATTTATCAAACATTGTAGGAACTCCTGTTGAAGTTGAATTTGGGTATTAGCGCTGTAACAAGCCTTCTTGATTTTCCTTTGATCAGGAAGAGGACATTAGATGTGGCAGTTGGCAGACCTCACGTCTTCTGTTTTTTCTGCGTGATCTTCTGCTGTGATTGAAGTCTGTCTGGAGTCTTGAGGATGCCGCTCTGTCAGTGGAGCTGAGTCGTCTGTCAGCACTGGATAGAAACAAGTGGGGCAGAACAGTCGTTTGTGCACAGAAAAAGCATGAAGACCCCGCTTTGTGCAGTACCTGGGACTTAAGCCTGGTGGGTGCTTAAGGAACAACAGGACTTCTCCTCTGAAGTATACTTTGAATTTTTTAAATAAAATTTTTTATTTCTTTAACTTATTGCTTATTGATCGAAACCTATTTGTTGAAATTTGGAAGAACAAGCAAAGCTTAAACCCATTGAATTACAGATAGAAAAGGTAGGGTGGGTGAGTTTTGTTTAAAAATACTCTGATTCTAAAAGGTACCAGATAAGCTCAATTGAACACCCCCTTCTCACCCCCCACCCACAAGTCAGCCAGTTGGAACAGTACTTTAAAATCACTCAGACGTGAGCTCCTCCTTCAGAATGCCTTTTGGATAGGGGCGGAACAGCAGCCTTTGCTGTTCTTCACTTTTGTGTTTTATAATATGCAGATTAAAGCTGTTTCAGTAACCACAGTTAAGAATTATTTTAAAATTTTTATTTTGAGTCTATTAAGATTTGAGTAGCTCTGTTCATGTGAAAACTATAGTTCAAGAAATTTAGGAATAGAAATTTATGGGTCACTAAAGGTTTTCTAAAATAAAATTTTTAATGAAAAGTTACCTTTATTTTGACAATATTTGACTACCTATTACATTTTTCAAATCCTGGGTTAGGGATGCTATACATGAAATTGGCTTTGATTGCCGTTGCTAGTGTGTTGTCAGAAATTAAGCACCACAGCAAGTGAGGGTGCCTCAGTATGGAACTGAGTGCCAGCAAACAAGCCTGCCTCAGTATGGAACCAAGTGCCAGCAAACAAGCCTGCCTCAGTATGGAACTGAGTGCCAGCAAACAAGCCTGCCTCAGTATAGAACTGTGTGCTAGCAAGCAAGTCTGTCTCAGTATGGAACTGAGTGCCAGCAAACAAGCCTGCCTCAGTATAGAACTGTGTGCTAGCAAGCAAGTCTGTCTCAGTATGGAACCGTGTGCCAGCTGTAGGTTCTTCTTTTTTTTTTTTTGGTTTTTCGAGACAGGGTTTCTCTGTGGTTTTGGAGCCTGTCCTGGAACTAGCTCTTGTAGACCAGGCTGGTCTCGAACTCACAGAGATCCGCCTGCCTCTGCCTCCCGAGTGCTGGGATTAAAGGCGTGCGCCACCACCGCCCGGCTTTTTTTTTTTTTTTTGGCAGCTGTAGGTTCTGTTACTCCCTTGTTGGTTTCTTCTCAAGTCTGTTTTAGCATGAGTTACTTATTCTTAAGTGCTTGTTTTAGCAGTGTGAAATTGTGTTTTTGTGTCTAAGTTCTGCCTTTTTGTTAATGGAATCGCAATGCTATAAATACATAGGCGAAAGCAAAGGCCTGGTGGCAGGAGCAGGTGAGCGCTCACATCTTTATCTGCCAGTGGGAATGGCATGGACTTTTGAAAGCTGAAAGCTGGCCTCCAGGATACACGGCTCCTAATCCTTCCCCAGTAGTTTCACTGCTAGGGACAAAGTATTCAAACATGAACCTAAAGGAACCATTCTCGTCCACTTGATCAGTTTGTGAAGGGCATGAACACCCAAGGATGGACGCAACATCGGCAAGAGTCGTGAACATGGCAAAGGTGACAGGATTGTAGAGACTGTACACAAACCTGGAGAATACACACTTTTTAAAATTAGTTTATTTGAGACATAACTCATATCCCAGACTGACCTCAAATTCTGTATACCCAGTGCTGGGGGGTTGTAGAGTGCAGTGCCATGCGCAGTGAAACTTATCTTTTTACCTTACATGAACAATTAAGTGGTTAAACATTCATTTCTGTATCTCACCCTTGCTGTTTTGTGTGGATTTTTGTTGAAATATTTCAGTTCAAATCGAATTCAAATCGACCTCACCTCCTGAACTTTTGGGAGATTTACATGATAGGTTTACATTCAGTTATTAAAAATAAGTACTGTTTAATCACTTTAAAAATTCAAATACTGGTCAGCCAACCCAACCTGTTCCCTAGACGGAACCCTGCAACAGAAAGGCCCTCCAATGAAGTGATGAGCAAGTGCAGCCCTCTAGTGGTTCTGTTTCATGCTGCATGGAATTTGGTGACATTTGAGCCTTGCTTTGAAGCTCTAAAAGTAACTGAGATACTTATACCCCTTTACCATAGCAATGCATGCTCATACTAGGTTTTTATGTGACAGTATAGACAATTAGGATTATCCTGTACTTGATAAGCTGAGTGGTTGACTAAATAGTGTGAACTCATGCATGCTAAATCGTGGGAGAAGTAACTGAGGTGGCATAGAGTAGGTCGTAACCATGCAGTGGGACATGTGGCTATTAGGCTTAGGCAGGGATTTATGGACTGGTATTTCGGGGGAACAAGCTGCACCATGTGTGTTTGTGTGTTACATATAGACTGACATACTGGTTCCACATGGTAGATCCCCTCGTTTTTGTTTGAAAGGAAAGAAGTTCTTAGGGTATAGTTTAGTGTGACTAGATAAATACATAAGCAAAAAAAAAAAAAAAAAAAAACATTAGGATTACGCCAGGTAGTATTGGTGCCTTTCATGGGGAGATTTGGAAGTATGGGAGTCAATAGAGTATTCAAATTTTTAGGAAAAGTAAATACAAAGGGAACTGAGGTGAAGAATCTCAACCAGTTCGTGCAGTTCAGTCTCTAGTACAGAAATGCAGCCCTTCTGAAGATGTAGGGAGGGCTTGAGTTCAGGCAGATGAGTTCCTGAAGATGTGGGGAGGGCTTGAGTTCAGGCTGCTCCTGACTGCCTTTCTGAGTTGGGTTTATGTGTTCTGTGTTTTTGTTTTTGTTCTTTGAACAGGCTGGTTTGCTTGGTAATCTGCTGATAAATACAAGACAGGAGCCTAAATTTCTTAAGATGTGTGGTGGCTGGGTTTCTCTTTAAGAAGATTTCCCCTTGTTCTAGGAATTAAAATGTTTTCCTCTTTGGCCCAATTAAGTGTTAATGGAGGGCCTCTAATGAAAATGCCTTTCTTTGAGGTCTAGAAGTGGAAATGATTTGTCCTGAAAGAACTTTCCTGACAGGCTGCTGAAGCTGATTGCGATCGCCCGAAGGCTCTTCAGAAGGTGGTCTGGACTCTCCAGAATGCTGAGCCACACTTTAGATTCAAACACTTCAGGCTTTAGGAACGAAGGCGACTCTGTGTTTTCAAAGACGGAACACAGCATCATTGCAGCTTACCTGATTGTGGCAGGTATGGTGTTCACTTAGTTACCTGCTTCTTGGATGGGACAAAGAAGAGGTGTTTGGTACAGGCATGCAGTGTGGGCTAGCTGGTAAACAAGGGGACTGTACCAGTCGGAGGAAATGCAAATGAAGGAATAAATGACAGCAGTGTTATACTGCTTCTTGACATGGAAGATTTTTTAATCAATGAGAGCAAAAGGGGCAAGAAAAGCTCTATAAAATGAATTTTTAGAAGAGAAATTGTCCATATATTTGGTTCTTACATTAAATGTAAACATGAATACTGCGCACCATGGTAAAAGCATGCTTTGTATCATTTACCATTCTCATGCATAGTTTGCATAGTTTTCTTCTTGGTAGACTTAATATTGAAAGGTACTGGAGGAAGAGTTTGAAAGAGAAAGGGTGCAGATGAGGCATGCAAATTCAGCTCCTCTAGCAGGCAGTCGTGGGAAGCAGGGCTGTAGGGGGTAGCTTTGAAAGATAGTGCGCCTTTTTACTCTTCCATGTTCTCATGTGTGAAATGAAGATAATAAAGGGATCTGTCATGATTGATAGGAAGAGTATATTAAATGTCATCGAGACTCCTAAGGGGCATAGATAGTTGTTGGGCAAATATGTTCTTGCCGTACAAATATTAGATTAAGATAAAGGCTTGTCTGTAGAAAAGAGCATGAGGGAGATGACAAAGTCTGTGAGTGTGGCTTTTACAATCAATCACTTCATCCCAAACTTGTAGGCAGTGGCGAGTTTTAGTGACTGTTCTATTGGGCTCATTGCTTTTTGCATTGACTTATGAAAATTTTCAGTCATGTTTCTAAAGACAGAGATACATCTCTGTGTGTCTACTTTACAGCTGTTTTGTGTCCACTTCATAGTTGACTTGGGCTCCAAATAATTTAATTTTAGTGCTACAAATTCATTTGAATACTTCTATGTGGTAAGAGCAAATAGTGGGTCTGAAATTCCAGAATCACATGGAGACACTATATATAAGTTTTGGTTCAACTAATTGTAGGTGACAGGGAAAATCCAAAATTTATCTGGTATTTTGGAGGCTGAAGCAGGAGAATTGTTGAGTTCAGAGTCTAGTGGGCTACATAGTGAGATTTTCTCAAAGGGGGAAGAGTCTGCTCACCAGATCAGTATGCTAAGGGATTTCCTAAGAAAACCTTGTAGCTGCTTTTTAGTTTTGTTTCCCAAATCCACACGGGTGAGGAGCTTCTAAGTGGCTACCTGGCTTTGAGCAGGTCTTTTTGTTAACCCTAGGTAGGTCGGCTTTGTTAGGAAGCATCAGAGCATGCAGTCTTTGCTTGTGCTTTTGCAGAGGAACTGGAGGAAACACATCCCACCTCTGCTTTTGTGCTGTGTGTCAAGTGTCTCTTGTGCTTCCCATCCCCGCATTTTCCTCTTTTAACAAAAATCCATTTGAGCTCCAGATGTTGAAAACCGAGGGAAAGGGTGCACTTGAGGATCATTCCATTTGTTATTTTGGCCATGGAGCTATGGAGATTTTTTTTTACTGTAGAGTTTATTTATAAATATATGATTTATTTAATTTCTTTTGAACCAGGAGCTTGCTGTAGTGTGTGTTCTAGCCTAGAGCTATCTATGTAGCTAATGCTGGCCTAGATCAGGGTTTTCCCACTTCTGCCTTCTGAGTATTACAGGTATGTTATCACTGTGCCTGGCCTAGCTTTATTAATCGGTTCTTACTTAACTGTCTGTGTGTGTCTTTATTAATCGGTTCTTACTTAAGTGTCTGTGTGTGTCTTTGTGAATGATCGCCACATGTATGTCTACAGAGGCCAGAAGAAGGCGTCAGGTCCTTGGGTCTACAATTGCAGGGGATTCTGCGCTGTTCCACACAGGTGATGGGAACAGAATTCAAGTCTTGTGTCTAGAAGAGCAACAAGTGCTCTCAGCCACTGGGCCATCGCCACAACCCCCTAGATTTAATTTATATTTTAATCTTTCATTTATATACTTTTACCATTTTCATTGCTATAGACATCTTGTTAATTTAGTATGCTTGAGTACTCTATCTTCACCGCTTTAAGCTGAGAATTGAGAGTATGATGAATGGATGGATTTGAAATAATTCATCATGGATGAATTGTAAAATTGTGGTGAGAGGTTGGCTGAGAAAGATGACTGAGTACCAGACAGTACTGAACCACATAACCTGCAAGGCTACAGCGAGTCCCTGAAGGGTTGAATAGAGACAGTATCTGATTTCCATTTCAGACATATGTTGTGATGGTAGCTAAGAGACCATTAGGCCACTGCAGTAATCTGAAGTTGGAGCAATTGGGGACTTAGTGGAGGCACAAAAAATTAGACTCGTTCAAGAGCTAGAAGGTAGAATTGATGATTTGCTATGCGGCTGGGAAAGAAGAGGGGGCATCAAATTTAACTTCTAGTGGGGGTTGGGCTGGGGTGTGCTACCAATTGATGATGTAGTTCACTGAGATAGAAACACATTTGGGGAAAAACAAGTGGGAGGTGGGAGGTGGTGTCTGAGTTCAGCTTTTACATATGGCCTAGTTTTACAACACTAATCTCAGACACAATGAAGCCACGCAGAAAGTTGAATTAGGAAAGAAAGGGGTCTAGGACAGAGGTGGAAAAAATATATTTTAGTGTGGTGGTGTTGAAGAAAAACTATCAGGTAGACCAAAAAGAGATGGGAGGGAGCTAAAGGAATGGGGAGGGGAATGATTTAAAAAGGTGGGAGGGTAGGGCTGCTCAGAATTTAGACTGACAGATCTGCTATCCACTCAGCAGAAAGTCTCTGCAATTCGTGAAATAATGCAGCGTATAAGTTAGCTAGAGAGAAGAGAGAAAAGAGGCAAATTATTTGTTTAGTACCAACATTATATTAGAGACTCTCCAAAATGTAATTGCTTTCTTGTGGCTATGTGCTGGCTAGGCAGCAATTTATGTGCTGTATTTAACCCTTTTTGAATCCAGGTTATAATGTGTTTTTCTCTTTTTTGCCCCCCATAATAGTTTTTGTATGTTTGCTAAAAAGATCCAAAGGATTTTGTCAAATTTGCTACTATTGTGCTTTAACGAATAATAGAAATCGGGCCCACTGGAGTTAGTGGCATTCCAATCATCAAGATCTTGCTGTATGGCACATACTCGAGATAGAGTTCATTAGGAGCCTGAGGTGTATAAGGTAGGGCAACATAAACGCTGCATGACATCACTCAAGAATAAGAATAAGCAAGCACTCTCGGAACCTATGGAGAAGATAGAATCCCATGGATAGGAGGCTGCTCTGAAGCCATATGTTCCAAGAGTGCTTGCCTGAACTTTAAAGGGTGGCTAGCACTTTAACATTCAGAGGAATAGCGCAGGGTATTTCAAATGGGAAAATATGAAATCAAGATTTGTAGCTTGATGTATTTGCAAAACTTCCAGAACAGTGGGCTTATTTCATAAGCGTGGAAAGAGGATAACAGCAGATTAGGGCAAAGAGCCTAAACGATCAGGTTAGGACACCGGGCTTTTCATCCTTCAGTACTGGGGACCTGGAAGCTTCTGTAGAGCTGTTGCTTATTATTTGATGCAGCAAGCATAGCAGCCATGTGGAGAAGAGAGAAGAGGAATACGGAAGACTGGTGTAAAAGGATGCCAGTGAGGAAGTTTTGATGGAAGTACCAAGGTAGAATGGAAGTTCTCTCTTAGCCGGTCTTCTGTGTGTTGGTGTTTGGGATTATTCCCACTGGTTTGAACAGTAGCTGGGGAATGCTCATTAAGTAGTTATTTTCCTGGGAAACACGATTCTCTTCCTTATGTTGCATAACAAGTCCTGTAATGGTTGCAACTTCTCTGTTGAAACTGATTTTGCAGCAGCCTCTACCACTGGGACCTGAGACTGGCCTACATCTATCTGCCCCAGGAAAAACATATGCATCCTTTCAGCATGGAGAGAATGTTGAACTGGCTAACATTTGCACCCAGTGTGCTCAGTGATGGTTCTTATTGTTAGTGACCACACTAGCATGCTGGTTAGTAACTTTAGTCCTCAAATTATACAGCTATCTAGACCTGTCCAACTGTGGGACACTGAAAACACTGAGTTTCTTGATTCCAGGGTTGAGAATCGGATAGCTATGGTGCTATCACCTGTGATATTCCAGTGAACCAGAAATCTGTCTCGGCCTGTTGTCTGGATGGTCAGGGATTGCAGTATGCATTCTAGTATAGTGTGTGTGTGTGTGTGTGTGTGTGTGTGTGTGTGTGTGTGTGTATGTGTGTGTGCATGAGTCACATGAGCTTACTACTACATGCTTAATGTGCTTAATAATAATGAATCATAAAAATATGAAAAGTGACAGAGATGGTGTTAAGATGGACTGCTGTTTGAGGCTTGAGGAAGGAAACTAGGCAGAGTGAAGAGGGATTTAGTCTGCCACAGGACAGGGTGGCTGGTTATTCTTGTATCCTAAAGACCCTAGTGCATTGGAGTTATGGAAAGCTACAGGGGGAATTTAGGGACAAATAGTCAGTGGGTGATGACGTTTGAACCAGCCTCCAGTGCTGGCTTCTGCAGTCAACAGGGTCTTTGTGTTCTAATTCCATTTTCATTCACAGAAGATGTTACAGTCTTAAGAGAAGTGGGACCTCTTCAAACAGAAGGACTAAGCTGAATTGCTATCTTTTTTGAAGTAACAAATATTTAATTTTTATTCTATTCTAAATATTAAAGTTAAACAAAACGCATGGTCCTTTTGTGTGTGTCCTAGGTATAATAAGCATTCTCAGCAACATAATAGTTCTGGGCATCTTCATTAAGTACAAGGCACTGCGGACACCTACGAATGCGGTGATAATTAACCTGGCTTTCACGGATATCGGGGTCAGTAGCATCGGCTACCCCATGTCTGCTGCTTCAGATCTGCATGGAAGCTGGAAATTTGGATATACAGGCTGTCAGGTATTGGGGAACATTGGAATAAAACAAGATGAAATAACAGATTCAAATTTAAATGTCTTTTTAAGAATCTTAAGAACTGGGGCTGGGGAAGTGGATCAGTGGGTGGTAAAGTGCTTGCTTAGGAGCAAGGTGACCTGGATTAGGATGCTAACACCTGTGGAAAAGCCCAGGGTGGCAGCACACAACTTTAATTCCAGCTCGAGGGAAGAAGAGGCAGGCAGGTGACTGGATCCAGAGGCTTCAAGGCAAGCCAGTTTAGCCAAACTCCCTGTTCAGGGAGAGAGCCTAACTCAAAAAAATAAAAATAAAACAAAACAAAACTAAAAAGTGGTGAGCAATAGAAAAGACATGTCAACTTCTGCCCTTCAAATGTTCACACATGGGTGTGTGTACCTACACACATGTGTACAGGCATGTACACATCACACGTACAAAACAACAAAAATCCAGTAATTTAAAACAAGAGATTGCAGGACAAGAGGTTTGCTTTTGTGGAAAATAGCGTCAGCAGTGATTGAGGATATATTTATTTTTTAATAGTTTATACTTTTTTCTCTGCCCCCTTCATGTCCTCCCTTCCCCCTCACTCGCTCTCGCACACACTCTGTAATCCACTGAATGAGATTAGTGTTGCCTATTGAGTTTTAACTGAACTTGTTGGCTTGTGCAGGTAAACATAACTGTTGTGAGTTCACGGGTGTATCGGCCATGTCATGTCCGGAAGATAGCATTGCATAGTGGTCTTTCTAAACATGTTCCTACATTCTTTCTGCCTCCTCCTTTGTGATGTGCCCTGAGCCTTTTGTTGGGGAGGGATTGATAAAGCTGTCTTTTTTTAATGCTGAGTACTCAATTATTCCCAGCAACTTATTCTCAGCACGTGGACCAGTTAAGAGCCTTGCGTGAACTGACTACTGCAGAAAGAAGCTTCTGCTGAGGGCAGACAGGTGTTTAGAAGGCAGTTAACAGCTCGCCCATTTGGGAAGACAACAGTGATAGGCACCTCCTTTTTGACCAGATTTATAGAATGCGTGAATTCCTTCCTGTAGAGCAGGCCTCAAATTCAATCTAAAAGTGACTGTTTACCCCATAACCTTTGTTCCACTGTCCACCAGATGACCATTTAATATGTTTTAGGTGTAGTCTAACAATGAGACAAAACTACAAATAGTTAGGGCTCGCAAGATGGCTCAGAGGGTAAACATTTGCTGTGTAAGCCTGACAACCCGAATTCATTCTCTGTGTTAGAAGAGAACCAACTCCCAGAAACTGTCCTTTGACCTTCAAACCTGTGCCATGGCATGCACATGTTCACATACACAGTGCATGCACGTACACACACACATACCATATATACACAATAAAAATGGAAATGTTTCATGGGAGGGTTTTGGAATGATGGACTGTTAACGGTTTGTTTTTCAGATTTATGCTGGATTGAATATCTTTTTTGGAATGGTAAGCATTGGCTTGCTCACAGTTGTAGCTGTGGACCGGTACCTGACCATCTGCTGCCCTGATGTAGGTAATGGCATGTTTCTTGTCCTTCTCAGTGACGTCATTCATTATGTAACACCTTGATATTTATTTTAAAGTACAGACGATGGTTTGTAATCAGACTGTCTTACTTCTCTAGAAACGTCTGTGCACAATTCTTGATGGCTCCCTACAACCCTTAAAGCACAATCTAGATTTCATTAGGCATCCTATAAGGCCCTGGTTGCCTTTCCAGCTTCATCCAGGGTCATTCTTGGGTACTTTCACCCTTTGGGACTTTCGTATGTGTCCTGGAAAGCTATTGTTCATCCCTATGCGCTACACGTTTATCATTCAGGTTTTAGGTTGCCATTTTGTCAGAACGTGAAGCCTCATAGGTAGCTTCGTGCACTCTAAGGAGTTCTGTAGAGAATGCATTCCATTGAGTCAGCAGTGGAACCAAGTGAGTCCTGTCATTGTGAACAACACTAATGCTGAGTGTGCTTCTCAACAGGAAGAAGAATGACCACCAACACTTACCTCAGCATGATCCTGGGTGCCTGGATCAATGGCTTGTTTTGGGCTTCGATGCCCATCATGGGGTGGGCTAGTTATGCCCCAGATCCTACTGGAGCCACCTGTACCATAAACTGGCGGAAAAATGATACGTAAGAGATGTGTTTACATTTTATCGTCAGATGCTCTCCTCCTCCTGCCCATGGGGGTCCTTGTATAGGCTGCGGCAAAGGCTTCTTTGGTAGTGTGATACAAATGGAGACAGACGAAAGAGTGGATTATGCTTGCTTATAGGTCAAGCTCATCTGGCTCCTTCAGCCCCCTTTCTTTGATCCTTTGTTCCTTCCTCTGTCCTCAGGCAGCAATGGCGACACCCTCCCACTCTTTACTCATCTTAGAGTGGGGGTCCCTGCAGGGATTTGCCATGGGTTAATGACACCCCTCATTTCCGTGGAAATGAGGATCATTTAGTTCACCAAGGAAAATGAATGATGACTCAAAAGCAAAACAAAAACAAAGATTTTTCTAAAGTAGTTTCTGTAAAGAGTCACACGTCAGGCCATGCTTCAGCTTTGCCATCACACTGAGAAAGCGCCGTCGACAGTATGTGAGTGTACGTGGCTGTGTTTTAGTAAACCTTATCACAGAGACAGTCGACTGGCAGGAACGGATAGCTCAGAGGCCGTAGTTTAATGCTCAGAGTGAAGTATGAGATCTAAGTCAAACACACTTCCTAAACATTTAACAATAAAATGACTGTTACCATTAATTCTAGCAAGTATTTCCTCTTTCCCTTCCCATGATCGTTTTTTCTTATATCCAGATCTTTCGTGTCTTACACCATGATGGTCATTGTGGTGAATTTCATTGTGCCTTTGACAGTGATGTTTTACTGTTATTACCATGTCACTCAGTCCATGAGAATTTATACTGCCCGGAACTGCACTGCGTACCTCAACCGAGACTGGGCCGACCAGGCAGATATAACAAAGGTAAGAAGCCAAAATCCTTGAAATGTCGTTGGTAATAAAGCTTTGACTTTGTATAGCTGGAAAGTCCTGGGGCTTCTCCCAGGCTCCTTTCCTTTATCTGTAATTTTACTACTCAGCTCTTTCTGCTGGTGTTTGTCCCATATTATCGAATACTATGCCTATCTGTTCCTTGGATGTCTCTGTGTGCTATGATCCCTGGACTTCATCCTGTAGATTGTGAGGATTCCTAAGTCAAACCTGGTCCTGCCCACCCCCTTCTTTCTAAACCTGAGGTGTGGTAGCAGTATTTGGTTAGATTAAAAAGCTTTCTCTCTTCTTTTGGTATGTGCAAACATACCAGACACAAGGTTCACATTGCCTTCCTCTTGGAGCTGATCCTTCCTGTACCCTTGAGAGCCTTGATTCCCCGGGTCAGGATGCTCTATAAGCAGAGACTTTTCCTTTATCATACAAACAAGGGGCAAAGGGCTCCTCTATACATTATTTGTACAGTAAGTAAAATATGCTGTCAAATGGCTCCCAATGGAACTCACTTAAGATAGGACTGTGTTTCCAGATTGAGTTTAGGAAGTTTGTTTGGTTGAAATTGGTGGGCAGCTGTCAGTAAAACCAGAAGTGGGTTGGGGAGGTTTTGCCTGCATATTTGTGTGAAACCAGCATTGTGTGCTTTCCCCAGCCCACGACATGAAGGTGTTCTTTGCAGTTATGCTACCCTCTTAGCAGCAATGTGACGTGTTGCTCAACACAGCCACTTGCAGTTGTTGTCATAGAAGGCTTCAGGAGCTGAAACAAAGAGTAGTGAAGGCAGAACCCCAGCTTCTTTTACATTACCAACAAAACTTTAACCTAAATACTCATGCTACTGTACATTTTAGATGCTAGCCTTGGTGATTATCTCTTTTTTTTTTAGATGTCTGTGATAATGATATTGATGTTTCTGTTGGCATGGTCCCCTTATTCCATTGTGTGCTTATGGGCTTGTTTTGGAGACCCCAAAAAGATTCCTCCTTCAATGGCCATCATAGCTCCACTGTTTGCAAAATCCTCTACATTCTACAACCCTTGTATTTATGTTGCTGCCAACAAGAAGTAAGTAGTGTTTGATATGTTTTTGAACAAAATGATAGCACAGAAAGAATATTAAAGGCCATGTGTGACTAGTGTCTAGGACTTTCAGAGGCAAATGACAGAAACCAATGCCAACTGTCACAGTTAGGGTTTCTTATGCTGTGCTAAAACACCCTGGTCAAAAGCAACTTGCCGAGGAAAGAGTTTCTTTCAGCTTACAGTTCTGTATCACAGTCTATCACTGAAGGAAGTCAGGGAAGGAACTCGGGCCAGAAACCTGGAGGCCGGAGCTGGTGCAGAGGCCATGCGGTAGTGCTGCTTACAGGTTTGCTCAGCCTGTTTTCTCATAGAACCACCTGCTCAGGGATGGCACTGCCCACAGTGAGCCGGGCCCTCCCGCGTCAGTAGTCAATCAAGAAAATGCACCATAGCCTTGTCCCCAGGCCAGTCTGATGGGGGCATTTTCTCAGTCACGGTTCTCTCTTCCCAAATGACTCTAGCCTATGTCAAGTTGATATCAAACCAGCCAGCACAACCACCTAATTAAGGTTATTTGGCTATTGAAAACAGCCAAGACCTTACATATTTAGAGCTCTACTCTTGTGACAGACTCTTCCCACACGGTGGCAGAAATATTCTTGGGCAACCCAGACCCAAATTCTACCAGCTCAGCAAACAAAGACAGCCTTTATCTCAAATGACCATGTGGCAGGGAAGTTCCTGGCTGGTCACTGGTCAGCTGGGTTTGAGTGGTTGCCCCGCCAGGTATGTGGAATAGTGTTTTCCAAAGAAAAGAGTAGACAGGCAGCAAGCCCAGACAAGGCACTTGGCTTCCGTAGGAGTGGCCAATCACAGACTCACTGAACTCCTGGGTAAAGTTTAGATTATTTCATTTTCTGTTACTGTTGGTTAATGAACCAATTTGTTGTGCTGAATCCTGGTACACCACAGAATGCCACAGCTGTGTCTAAGTGTGTGTGCTAATGCAAAGATGTGAGAGAAAGAACACACAAGCCTTAAGATGAGGTAGAGCACACAGAGGACCAAAGGACATATTATAAGATCAGGATCTGCTGGAAGTTCTCTGGGCAAGACCAGCCATTCTCAAGCCCCCTCAGATCCAACTGGCCTTTACACAGAGGACCAGATTTGTGTAAAATAATAATTTAATTCAAACAAGTAACTGCGCTTGGCAGTTGATGTGTCATTTTAAACATACATAGGTATTGAGTTTATCAGATGTCTCCATGTTTGTCATCAGTGATACAAAATTGGCCCTGAACTATCCATCTGTCCTGTATATTTATAAAGGCTCTCAATTGGAGATGTTGACATTGGGTGCAGTGACTTATTTAGAGAGGCCCATCAACAGTAATGACTCTTTAGACCAATATAACCATAGACCCTTCATCCAGCAACTGATGGAAACAGAGGCAGAGACCCACATTGGAGCACTGGACTGAGCTCCCAAAGTCCAATTGAGGAGTGGGAGGAGTGAGAATATGAGCAAAGAGGTCAAGACCATGATGGGTACACCCCATGGATAGGAGGAGGGGAGGGAGTGGGAACTGGGATTGGTATGTAAAATGAAAAGAGATAGTTTGTTTTCTTTTTTTAAAAAAAAATAAATAAAATAGAAAATAAAAAGAAAACAAAAGAAAAAAGTTTCATGTTACCAGAGACTAACATTTTTTCTTTTGTTTATGACAGGTTTAGGAAGGCTGTGTTTGCCATGTTTAAATGCCAGCCTCACCAAGCAATACCTGAGACAAGTTCTGTACCAATGGATATGCCTCAAAGCCCATTGACTCCTGGAAGAGTCTGAAATGCGAGAAAAGAATATGACATCAAATATTTTACTTGTTTGGGTTTTTTTGGCAGTACATTGATTTTGTTTTAAATATGAATTCATTTAGATCAAGTGCGCACAGACACCATTGCCTTATTGACAGCAGTTTCCTCCCTCCCAGTCAGTACAGCTCCATTGTGCAGGAGTTGCTGCAGAGCCTTCACTGTGTCCTCGAGGAGAATTGAGTAGCTGCAGCCTCTCCTCTTTCTCTTTAGAAGGCACACATTACAGTGTGTTGATGGCATGTAACTTGGCTGAGTTTCCATTAGACAAGAAATGGCATCTAGAATATTAGAATATTTTAATATTAGGAAAAGTTAATAAGAGACTGATCTAAATTACAATCCTGAATAATTAATTGCTGAAATGAGTTGGTCAATGTTTCCAGCTATGCAAAAACATTTTAGTATCTCTAAAGTTTGAATTTAGAATCAATTATTAATTCATATTATTTAAACATATTCAAACATTAAATACAGCTGCTTTCTATCATGCCAGTCTATTGTTCATATATGTTTTATAGTAGTGTAACATCTGTCATTATATCTGTTATGGTAGTGTAACATCTGTCGTTATATCTGTTACAGTAGTGTAACATCTGTCATATCTGTTATAGTAGTATAACACCTGTTGTTATATCTGTTATAATAGTGTGGCTAGGACCGATTCTGCCTGTTGGGTCTGCCCCATCCAACATGGCAGAGGTATGTTCACTGCGTCTTGGAGCCATGCTAACATCCCTAGCTCTTGGGATGCAGTGGGTCCTGTGTCACCATCAAACAACTTGTAGCACTCTGCTCACAAACCCTAAGTGCTTGGTAGCAGGACCTCTCTGAAAGATCCAGCAGGAACCAGGAAGCCATTTCTTAAAGGAGCCGTGCCTCTGCTTGTGGCCAGCCAACAAAGAGAGCCTATCTGAAAAAAACCAAATGAGGCTACCAAGAAGCTATGCTTGGCTTCTGTTTTTGTTGGTCTAGAAGCCCTCTATTTTTTTCTTAAGCTTTTTTAGATCTTATGTGGATCTATGCCCCAGATGGTGGGTACCATTTGTAAACAGAGACTGCTTTTTCGTTTACCTGCTGCCTGACCTGAATAATCACATAGAAACTATGTTAATTACAACACTATTTGGCCAATAGCTTAGGCATATTCCTAGCTAGCTTTTACAACTTAAATTAACCCATTTCTATTAATCTGTGTATTACAATGATGCTATGGACTACAGGTAAGGTTCCGGCATCTTTCTCCTTTGGCAGCTACATGGCATCTGCCTGGCTCCACCTTCTCCTTGCAGTCTGTTTAGTTTTCCCACCTAGCTCTATTCTGCCCTGTCATATGCCAAAGCGGCTTCTTTATTAATCCATGGTAATAAAACGTATTCATAGCATAGAGGGGAATCTCACATCAGGATCTCTTAGCTGAAAGGTCAAAGTTCTCCTGAACATGGCCCCAGAGAGACTTCCTTCCTCAGCCTGGTCCCAGAGAGACATCTCATCTTTTTGTAATTCTCCTGTGACAACATTAAAATGTGTTGTACTCCTGAGAGCTTTGTGCCAGGAGCTGCTGGCTTGTTCAGCCCCTGCAGTTAAGCTGCTTACAGAGACAAAATGACAGCAAGGGTCATGAGAGCAGTTAGATGGGAGAGACAATAGTCACAGAGCAGTTAGCTGGCCAGCAGTATTGGACACATTATCTAGAGAACTGACTGTGAGTTCTAGTTTGCAGAGCTTTGAGTTCATGTCTACCAACAAAGGATAACTTCACTTCAATATAATGAATGTAAGCTGTGCACTAATATTTTAAAATATTTTAACACTGTATCAATCAACTAATTTATACAATGAGACTGACTATAATCATTGAATCTGGTTCCCTGTAAGCCGTTGGGCTAACTAGCTTGATACTTTGTCACTAAACAGCTTTTCTATACTTAGTTGGCCACGTCCTGCTTCTCTAGGTCAAAACCTCCATAAACCTGATAATATAAAGACCATTTTGGTCACTTAGTGAGCAGAGTTCTGCCACCAGCTTATTTTCTTCCTCTTGTGCTCACTAACTCAGAGTTACCACCCATCACTGTGTCTCGAGCACTGGGAAACCTTGGGATCGTTTTTAAATCCAGTCTTTTTCATCCCCACACCCAATCAAGTGATTCTTCCGCCTCTATTTCTCAAAACCATATTCTCCACACTTTTACCAGAACAGGGAGGTTGTGACGCACGGCTGTTCACTTGGACCATAGCTAGTGGTGCCTACTTAAAAGCCTCCAGCTTCCCTCCTGCCTGTTCTAAACCAGGGGCTCTCAACCTGTGAACTGTGACCCCTTGGTGGTGGGGGTGTCCAACAACCCTTTCCCATATCAGATATCCTACATACAAGATATTTACATTATAATTCATAACAGTAGCAAAATGACAGGAAGTAGCAAAAATAACTCTTATGTTCGGGGTTACCACAGCATTAGGAGCTGTGTTAAAGGATCGCAGCATTAGGAAGACTGAGAATCACTGCTCTATACCTTTCCACACAGCCACCAGGAAATCCATGTCATCTGTTGACCTGACGAGCCACTCACAGCTTAACCTTTATGTTTTTGTTGTCTGGAGGCTGAGTGTGGCTCTTTAACTGGGTATCTAAGGCCTTTCCTCTGCTCCCTCAGCCTCAGATGCTTAGCTCTGAGCAACAGAAAATGCTTGTGCTTCCCTGAGGTTCTCTTGAAGTTTCACACATACACAAACACACACAGACAGACAAACAGAGCACACCTTTTCCCGCTTCTCTCTACTTGCTTGGGAGCTCAGGGGCCACCCAACAGGAAAGCTTGGCCTGATTACACAGTCTGAACACGATGTTCCTTCGCCTCCTCGTTGGCCTGTGTCTCCATCATTTGGCTTCCTTAGGTATTGCTTAGGGACCAGGTGTTGCTTATCTTTGTCCCTTTAGAACTTGGTTCGGAGGTTGGCAAGCACTCATTAAATATTTGCTGAACAAGTGAATTGTATAGTCTCTGAACAGCTGCAATGTGATTATTTTTTAGAAGGAGCAATGTTTTTCAGACTGTATTGTCTATATATGAATTCTATGAGTGCTTGATAACATTACATAATATTCTTATTTTTATAGAACTCATTCTTCTCATGTCTAAACATGAGAGTCACATACTATGAAGATGAAATATTTTTATTATCATCATGAATTTCACTTATTTTGTGTGTGGAGGTAGATTTTAGGTTAGATTAAAAGTTTATTCCCTGTAGCTGAGTGAGGTAGTGCAGACTTTTAATCCCAGCAGAGGCAGATAGAGCTCTATGAGTTCAAAGCCAGCCTGGTCTACATAGTGAGACAATGTCTCAAAGACGATTTTGTTGCTAAACATTGTTAAAGACATGCCAACTGACCTTCTGAGACTCTTCTTTAGGGGGTGTCCATTATAAGGCTGACATCCAGTTTGTTATGTACTGAGGACTACTTTGAATATCTGGTTGCCTGCCTTCACCTCTCAACTGCTGAGACTATGTACATACCTCCATACCCAGTTTTATGTGGTGCTGGAGACTGGACCCAGTGGTTTGTTCATACCAGGAAAACACTCTTCCAACTGAGCTGAATCCGCTGCCCTCAGCTCATCTCTAGGATTTTGGTGCTCCAAACATGGAGTGAAATATGGTTTTAAATAGAAATAAGTACCTTCACTAGAAATGAACATGCTTGGGGAAATCATGTGGATACAGAGATGACCTTGGAGAGACTCAGGACATACTGTCACTGACACATCAGGCGAGGATTCAAGAGTCTTCACACAACGGCAATGACATGGGTCGAGCTTACTTGGATTTGGGAGATGAGCAGCGCCGGGCAACGCTGGTAACTCTATGTGAAGTAAAGTCACACTTGCAGGTGAGGATGTACAAATAAACTACCAAAAATTGTAGCTTAGGCCAAGACACTGAGCTCTTGTTTTTTATATTTATTTATTTACCTATTTATTTATCTATTTATTTATTTATTATGTGTACAGCATTCTTTCCATGTGTGCCCACATGCCAGAAGGGGGCACCAGGTCTCATTATAGATGGCTGTGAGCCACCATGTGGTTGCTGGTAATTGAACTCAGTACCTCTGGAAGAGCAGTCAGTGCTCTTAACCACTGAGTCATCTCTCCAGCCTGACACTGAGCTCTATTTAACATTGGACATGCTCTTAAGCTATGGTGACAGTTCCCTCTACAGGAAAGGGGCCCGATAAGGGTTCCTTGCAAATCTAGACATGGGCAGCTATTGAAATTTTCCTGATGAGTGAGATCTTCACTGCTGTGGCAAGCGTGTTACCTGGTCGAGCCCATATTCAAAGGCTGGGTGGATTGATCCCCTGCAAGACACTTGAAGGTTAAATAGCTGCAGATCTCGGCTAATCTGGCTAAGCTGCTGATGCTAAATGTCGGCTGGCATCCTGGCACACCAGCTTCCACATGCTCTTGACTCGCCTCTTACCTTCTGTTCCGAGGGCCACTTTGGAGCTATGTGGCTCCTTGCCTGTCTGTGCCTTGTGCTGTGTTTTCTGGGAGGCGTGAGCTGCACCTGTCCAGCGCAGTGCACCTGTGATCATCACGGCAGGAACGACGGCTCGGGATCAAGGTATGCCCCTCTCTTTGCTGCTAAGTATTCTGACTGTCCTGGTGAAGAGGACACAAGCAAATCATCCTGACTTTATGAAAGCAAATTGTTTATTAAAAATCAGGGGAAGTTTAAATTCCATGAGTCTTGGTTCAGTTTTTCTTAGCTGGTGGCCCACTGTCCTATAATTTTTATTGTGAGCAACAGTTCACCTCTCAGATGCCTCAAAAGATTCTCTGAAATTCCAAAAGAACTTTCTGTCTTGCAAAAATTTATTACACTCACATGTACAAAACGCTCCTCTCTGGAGATCAGCGTTCAGTGTAGGGTGGGAGGGGGCAGGATTGTTACAGAAAGAACAAGAGAGTGAGGCTGGGTCGGAGCTGCAAGCTTATCCATGTAATCTGCTTTCAGAGTTTCGCATTTCATCTGGAGACATTGTCCACTAACACCTTGGTAGCAGAAAGACCAAGAGTGAAGTCAGTGAGGTTAATAATTAGTTTTTTTTTTAAAACAGAATTTACAAAAGTAAATTATGTTTAGAAAATAGCACCTGTTCAGACTTTATAGGCCCTCAGAGAAGTTATTAAGCCTCTACATTGCTTTAACCTAGTAAGAATTATAATTCCTTTAGGATGCACAGGAATCCCTTAACGTGCAGGCAAATACAAAACGGACTCTTGTTAGTTAGGCACAGTAGACTCGGGGTGTTTTTTTTTTTTATTTTAGAATATTTGCTAAAAAAATAAATGAATTCTTGGGACTTTGACAATTGAAATAAACAATTAATTCTTGGGACTTTGACAATTGAAATAAACAATGAGTTCTTGAAACAAATTTTAACAGAAGAAAATCACAACTTTAATTGAATAATGATTAGAGCTGAGGTACAGCTCAATGGTTCAGCTCTTGCCTGGCATGTCATCCAGTATCTGCCTCTTTGGACAGGCAGGATGATTAATAAAGAGACGGGTATAATCTGTATTTCAGAGTCCTAGCGTGAAAAGTCCTCCATAAATACCCATTGAACACCATGAAATTGCTCAGATTTGATCAACTTTACTGTGAGAATGGCCATTTTATGGTTCAATTTAATGGTTGCCATATTATGATAAAGGTGAGGAAGGAGATGATGATGATGACAATGTGGCATTATTAATAAATAGATTTTCCAGACTAACCAAATGTTTTGTAAAACACTAGTAGGGAATTAAAAATAGATACATGTTTCAAATAAGGCTTTATTTTAAGATGAGTCTTGGAGAGTCGATCTTCTGACCTTGCTCTTGTGACACCAGGTCAGTGTTGTGTAATGACCTGGACATGAATGAAGTCCCTACAAACTTCCCCGTGGACACCGTGAAGCTTCGAATAGAGAAGACTGTGGTCCAAAGGATCCCCACAGAGGCCTTCTACTACCTGGTGGAGCTGCAGTACCTCTGGCTTACTTACAACTCAGTGGCCAGCATAGAACCTGGCAGCTTCTATAACCTAAAGCAACTGCATGAGCTGCGTTTGGATGGCAATTCCCTGACTGCTTTCCCTTGGGCGTCTCTGTTGGACATGCCCCACCTGAGGACACTGGACCTGCACAATAACAGAATAACCCGTGTGCCAAATGAGGTGGTCAGATATCTGAAGAACCTTACCTACTTGGATTTGTCAAGCAACAGAATAGCCACACTGCCACCAGATTTCCTGGAGAGCTGGTCCCATTTAGCTGTGACACCTTCTAGAAGCCTGGAACTTCCACCGAGAAGAATTATTCTTGGTGAGCTCACAAACTTCTGGGCATCTTATGTGTAGATATCTTGATATGCATGGTTTTAGGGATATGTGTGTGTGTATGTGTGTGTTTGTGTGTGTGTGTTGCTTGACAAATCCAAGTAGGTGTCCACCCACCCCAAGATCACGGAGGGACTCTGCTTTCTTTATAGGCAGAATCTTGCAATTTATTTTTCACATTATGTCTGTTATCTTATACGCTTATGACTACTATCCACCTCAAAACAGTCTCTGTATATGGCACAAAGCAGGAGTAGTGGTTTGTTATTTTCTGGAGGTCGGGCTGTCCTAGCCACCATCATTTGTTGAAGACTCTCCTTTCCCATTACATGGCTGCCCAGCAGTCTCCACAAGCTAAACGAGGCCTCAGCTTGGCTGTGAAGAGCAGGGCTTGCAGAATAAGCTTTGTACAAGAATCTGTTTCTGTCTTTCCTCACGTGTGCATGCACACACCTACATGCACACACACACGCACACACACACACATACACGCACACACACACAATCAAAGAGCCTATGTAACCCAGCTGTTCTGATGCATGAAACACATTGAATTTCTCTTTCAGAAGGCATGAAGTGGCCCCATCCGAGAATAGTCATGAAATAAATTAATTAATGCAAAGGCTGTGATTGTGGTTGGTGTAGTTCCTTCAAAGAATGTAAGTAATAGTTTAACCCTGGGACTTTTTGTACCTTTGTCCCTATGAAAAAAACACAAGGTGGATGTGTGACCGCGGTCAGTCCTTGTAAAACTGTTCCTATTCACATCTTAAAAACTGTACTTTGACCTTAGATGTTTCAAAACTGGAACGAAAAGGCTTCATGTTTTTGATGGATTGAAAACTCTTTCCTCCTATTTAATTCTTTGAGTTCTGCATGAATCCTGGTTACGGCTCCCATGTTGGATGAGTGGCTGGATAGAATTTTCTCCCATTCTGTCAGTTGGTTGTCTCTTTGCTGCTAATTGCTTCCTGTGCTGTGCAGAACCTTTTAGTTTGATACAATATCTGTTAGTTCTTGCTATTATTTCTTAAGGTATTGAAGTCTTATTCAGAAATTTATTATTTATGCTTATATCTTTTTTTTCTTTTTTTAAATTGTTTTTATTGAGCTATATATTTTTTCTGCTCCCTTCCCTTCCTCTCCCTTCCCCTCCTACCCTCTCCCATGGTCCCCATGCTCCCAATTTACTCAGGAGATATTGTCTTTTTCTACTTCCCATGTAGATTAGATCCATGTATGTCTCTCTTAGGGTCCTCATTGTTGTCTATTATGCTTATATCTTGACATGTTTCCTCTGGTAGCTTCTTAGTTTAAGGTCTTATATTAAAGGTTTTTGGTCTCTTTTGTAATGGTTTTTTTGTACAGGCTGATTCAGAAAGATCATTTTAGAGGCTTTCTTGTTTACCAGATTATAATATTTAATTTTTCCGAAATCTTCTTTCTTCTAATTAAGTGTATTTTTTCCTAAGTAAATCTGCGGCTGAAGAGCTACATTATATATACATTCTGGGAGAAATTATTGCATTTTGCATAATGTTGTGGAGCTTTCTAGAATTAGGATTTCAGCCTAGGTGTTAGGTTTCCTAGACATACTCAGTTATTCAATATGAGAAAGAAACAAAGAAGTCTGCTTACAACACAACTGGGTGATCCTTCAATACTAAAATATTAAAAGAAAATTAAAATATTAAAAGAAAAGAGTGCAAATTGGCATTAATTATCAGAGCAGTCACAGAGTCACAGGATTTAATGTAAGAGGGAAGAACTCAAGGTTATGCACCCACAGGAGAAAAACAAACTCCTCCAGTAGGAGATTAAAAAGTAACCAGTCCTGGCAGAAGAATGAGCCCTCATGGCCTGCTGTTACAGGACCCATAAGTCACAGTGGAATCATTGCCCTGCAAACAGTCAATTCAGTGTCCAGCACTCCTAGGCCTCCTGAAATCACAGTTCTCTGTTCCCTTCTCATCTCAGGTCCCATGTTATCGCAAAAGCTGTAACTACAGGTCCCTAAAGCCAACCTTCTTCTCAAGTTTGTGACAAGGCCACCGCTTGCAGGAAAGCATCTTTAGAGACATTTGCCCAAGGGTCTCTACTCTGGGTCTCTCCTAGACTTTCCAAGTCTCATTGCAGGTTGTTCTGAAAGCCTTTCTTGTTTTTGGTAATTTTGGAAAGGCTGAGAATGGGCCCAGTGACTTTGGGTCTTTTATACTGAATGGTTCTTCAGCTGTGACCACCTTTACTAACAAGAAGCTCCTCTGTTCCCACAACAACAGCTTCAGTATTCTTCCTGGATATTTCCTTAAGAAGAGAACAGAACACTAGAAGTTGTTAATACTTGTAGTTACTATTTCCCGACCTTTACTCCAAATACTAACCTTTACCCTCTCATTTAATCCCAATGATCCTATGAGGAAGTTGGTATTATTATTATTATTATTATTTTCATTTTAGAGGTGAAGAAGCTGGGGCACAGAGGGACTAGAAGCCAGCAACCTCAGCTGACCTGCAGGTGACTGTACTTTGTCCTTCCCAGAGCTTCATCTGTTAGGGAGATAGTGTGCCAACCTTCTGCCACAAGACAAGCTGCGCTGCCAATTTAATCAATCAGGGCGACCTTTACTGTTCCTTTCCACTCTGTGTTTGTGTTTTAGGTTTACAGGACAACCCTTGGTTCTGCGACTGTCACATCTCCAAAGTGATTGAGTTGTCGAAAGTTGCTGACCACACTGTTGTACTTCTTGACCCTCTGATGGTCTGCAGTGAACCCGAGCGCCTCGAAGGAATCTTGTTTCAGAGGGCAGAGCTGGAACAGTGTCTGAAGCCGTCAGTGATGACCTCAGCTACCAAGATCACATCAGCTGTGGGTAGTAATGTCCTGCTGAGGTGTGATGCCACTGGCTACCCCACCCCACAGCTGACGTGGACCAGATCCAACAGCTCACCAGTTAATTATACAGGTACGATTAGTATTCCGGTGTGAACAAGTTTACAAAAATGTGGATTTCATTTCATGGGTTTTTTTTTGTGAAAATTTTATTTTATTATTATTTTTCTTTTTTACATCTTTTTTAAAAATTATTTATTTTATTTGCATTAGTGTTTTGCCTGCATATATGTCTATGTGAAGGTGTCATAACTTGGAGTTACAGACATTTGTAAGCTGCCATGTGGGTGCCTGGAATTGAACCCAGATCCTCTGGAAAAGCAGTCAGTGCGCTTTACTGCTGAGCCATCTCTGTTTTTTTTTTTTTTTTTTTTTTTTTTTTTTTTTTTTAGACAGGGTTTCTTCTTCATGTGACTCTGGCTACTAGTTCTGTAGATCAGGCTGGCCTCAAACTCAGAGATCTGCTTGCCTCTACCTTGGAATGCTGGGATTAAAGGCACATACCTCCACATCCGGTTCTTTTGTACAAATTTTAAATGGCTGGTTGATTCTTATAACACCAAGCTTCGTAGTGCTGGTTTTGTTTTCAGGGATGGAAACCGACTCCAGGGCCAGACAAGTGCTCTACCAGCAAACTATACCTTCAGCCTGCAAATTCAAATGAAATTTGGTTTTGGTACTTGGAATCAAACCTAGGGCTTTCTGTGCTATAGTCCTAGCTCCCTGGACACAGGGGATTTCAAGAGTACATTTTATTGATCAATATTTTCTCACTTTATATAACTACTTAGAAAAGAATTAGACCATAGAGCTCTTTTTGCACATCCAGTCCAGGTAAATAAACGAAGGCCACCAAGGCTTTTGTCCTGTTCAGTTACCTTGGATACACTCACTTTAAAGTGAAAAACCTTGGAAACATTTTTAAAAAGACTTTTATACAAATTTTGAACAACTCTATTTAAACACTCAATTACACAGAGTGCTTACTATGGGGCAGAAATATAATTTTTGGAAATATTAATTATATAGGCTTTTTAAACCCTGTGGTGATCAATCCAGGGTTCGACTCACATAAGCAAAGATAAGATTAGTCTTGGGACTCTTCAAAATAAAATGACAATTGAGATTGAAAAACATAAAGCTTGATGGAATAAAAAGTGAAGGTCTAATAGTCCTGTAGGCTGCTGACATATGGCTACTGAGTTCACATCTGGGCTATTGGTACCCTGCTTTACGTAATATTGTCCTCCAGGAAGCTTCTGTCTTCATTTCAGATAACATTCTAGTGTTTAGCTAAAAAATATTGCAATTTTCTGTATATTTCTATATATTACTCTGCAAACAAGTGAGCTTATAATTCTCTAGTTTATCTGAGTTTATTATGGAGTGGATGACATCCGGGCAGTGGTGGCCCACGCCTTTAATCCCAGCCCTCAGCAGGCAAGGGCAGGCAGATCTCAGAGTGTGAGGCCAGCCTGGTCTACAGAACGAGTTCCAGGACAGCCAGGGCTACACAGAGAAACCCTGTCTCAAGCAAGCAAGCAAGCAAGCAAACAAACAAACAAACAAACAAACAAAAAAGGGGACAGATAGTTTAGAATAAAAGTCATAGCTCCCTTATGCCAAAACATGACCTTTGGTGCCTACTGGGTATTTGCATAGATGCATTAAATTACAATGAGAAAAAAATCTTGAGAAACCATTAAGTAAAGCCTTTTTGTTGTTGTTGTCTTCCTGCGTAACCCTAAGTCTTATGATAAACATTTTATAGATTCACAATCAGAATTGGAAGGAGATTTTGAGATTAGTTTTTCTAATCCGAATTTTTCCCCAAACACAGAGACTTGAGTCTGTACATATCAGTTTCCTTGCGTACAACTGCGTGCTGCTGGGGAGACCTGGATCTTCTGATTTCCATCCCTAAACACTTTTAGGGGGTCATTTCCCAAACAGACAGACCCGGCAGCTCTGGGCAGGTCCCAGACTTCATGTGAACCATTTTCCTCATCGCCGTACAAAGTGCCCTTTCCCCCTGCTGTGTGAGAGGGACGCACACAGAATCTCTGTCAATCCTAGCTGGTATGAGTGCTCCTACCTGTCACAGGGCTCTCGTGTGTTCTCTCCTAGTAATCCAGGAGTCTCCAGGAGAAGGAGCCAGATGGTCCATCATGAGCCTGACGGGCATCTCCTACAAGGATGCTGGGGATTACAGATGTAAAGCCAAGAACCTAGCTGGGACGTCGGAAGCTGTGGTCTCTGTGACCGTTGTTGGCACCGTTACTACCACCCTATTACCAGACACTTCAGAAAGAAACCCCGGAGAGCGCCCTGATGAGGATCCTCAGCAGGGAGCAGGAAGCGTGCCACCTCTACCTAAGTCACGGTTGCCACCCGGCCTCTCTTCCACTTCTTCCTATTCCACTCCCTCAACTGCTCTGTCTACGTCTCCACCACCTCCTTCTTCCTTCTCTTTGCCTCCTGTCTTCTCTGCTGCTTCTGCACCCACGAGTGTAAAAACCAGCAGCTCGGAAAGCACCGTCAGGACGAGCCACCAGCCACTCCCGCTCCACCCCGGCGGGAAAAGCTATGCAAAGCTAGAAAAGAACGGAAGTAAGTTTCCGCCCGTCAGCGCGAGTAAGAAAGAGGAGTTGGCACTGTTGGATCAGGCGATGCCCACGGAAACAAATGTCTCTGTAGCCGACCTCAGGGTGGCCAACGAGACTGGAGTGAGCGCGACTTTGACGTGGAACGTCACCACACGGGGGACTGCTGTGACTGTGCTGTATTCTAAGTACGGAGAGAAGGACCTGCTGCTAGCGGATGCAGACTATGGGGAGAACCAGGCAACCATAGATGGCCTAGAACCCGGCAGTCAGTATGTGGCATGTGTCTGTCCCAAAGGAGTGGCTCCTCGGAAGGACCAGTGTATCGTGTTTTCTACCAACGGAGTGGAAGAACGTGACTCCCAGTGGTCATTCCTCATCGTGGTGACCAGCACTGCCTGTGTTATAGCTGTGCCCCTAATTTGTTTTTTATTATATAAAGTGTGTAAACTACAATGTTCATCAGACCCTTTCTGGGAAGATGATTTGGCGAAAGAGACATATATCCAGTTTGAGACTCTGTCGCCCAGGTCACAAAGTATAGGAGAGCTGTGGACACGGAGGCACAGAGATGACACAGAGAAGTTGCTGCTGTGCTCTCGGGCAAGTGCGGACTCTCAGCTGAACTCTAAGTGTGACGATTATAGACCAGAATACTATTGCTGAGGTTGTGCAGGTGCAATGACTGTGAGCCAAGAACCGAGGGATCTAATGCTGTCACAGACCCTCTGTTGGATGACTTTTGGACAGACTTTCCTATCATCTGTGAGAATCACAAACGCCATTTTTTGATGCATTTTTTTAATTTAGTTGAGAAACATCTCAGCTATAACAACAAATGACCTTTATTTTTTATTACACGAATGATGTCCAAGTAAATAATTTCTTAGTAGTATTTAATAAGCTTATAGTAATTTTAGGGCAATTTAGTTCCTAAAATAAGTTTATAAAAAATACAATAGCTAACCTTTTCATTTGAAAGAACACATGTTAGCAGTCAAGAGATGTTAGCATTGCCAGTGAAGGCTGGCAACCCTGAATGTTCAAAGTGCTCTGAAGAGTTTGCTAGGAGCGTTTGCCGCAGCTGCCTGGCATGCGAGCGTGAAACCCTAATGAATCTTGTGTCCACATACAGTTTCTTCCCTAATCCTTTAAAGTGAGGTATCAGTTAAATTAAGTACAACATGAGGATAATAACAAACACAGCATTTCTATAGCACTAGTGGCTGTATTTTAACACAGTACCTAGCGGTTATATTTTTAACACAGTTGATAGACTGTCTGTATGGGCCTCATGATGTGTTAATTTAAGAATGATCTTCTTAATTTCTTTCCACCCCTCCCATCTCATTGTCTTCCTTCATCCTTTAAAACTTCCCTTTTAAGAGACAGAAGATGCCCAGCCACCAACGAACTGCAAGCTCAGCTGTCTTCTGCCTCCCTTTATTTTTATTCTCTGGGTAGAAGGAAGGCCTCTGAGATTTCTTTGCTGTTGTTGTTTTTGTTTTTCAGGTATAGTGGTTTGCTCCTTTATTTATTTTTTCTTTTTCATGGGGTTGGTGTTTTCCGTGTATGCACACCTGGGGACCTCAATGTGTGCCCAGTGCCCTCAGAAGACAGAAGTGGGCATCGAGTTCACTGGGACCAGAGATTAAACATTACTGCATGATGAATGGGTCAAAAAGAAATTAAGAAACAAACACAAAATACACAAACAGGAGGAGCACTCTCAAACTCTTCCTATACAGCCAGTTTCATGCTCATACCTAACCAGATAAAAACATGGCAACCAAAGAAAGAACGCAGGGAAGCAAGAAAGCTAGCAAATAATCAGGCGAGGTAGAAAGAAAGAGAAGAGGCCAAATAGCCCTTGTGAACATGGATCAAAACATACTCAGTAAAATACTTGCAATCCTAGCACAGGCATACATCAAAAAGACTACCTGCAGCGACTGAGTTGGCTTTTTTTCCAGAGATGCAGGGTTGGTTCAACAATGCAAGTAATAATAAATGCAATTGTCTTAGTCAGGGTTTCCATTGCTGTAATAGAATACCACTAGCAAAGCAACTTGGGGAGAAAAGGGTTTATTTGGCTTAGGCTTCCACATCACAGTTCATCATCAAAGGAAGTCAGGACAGGAACTCAAACAGGGCAGGAACCTGGAGGCAGGATCAGATGCAGAGGCCATGGAGGAGTGCTGTGTACTGGCTTACTTCCCATGGCTTGCTCAGTCTGCATTCGTAGAGAACCCAGGACCACCAGCCCAGGGGTGGTAGATAGGTCCGCCCACAATAATCACTAATTAGTAAAATGCCCTACAGGTTTGTCTGCAGCTCAACCTTAGAGGAACGTTTTTTTTGAATTGAGTCTCTTTCCTCTCTGATGACTCTAGCTCGTGTCAAGTTGACATAAAACTAGCCAGCGCAATAATGACCCACATAAATGGGCTGAAATGTCCTAGAAGGGTGTTTTGACATTTGGAAAGAGAAGTGTCAGTGGATTCATTGGAGTAGGTCCAATGAACACATGGGATAAAGACTTCATAAATACTATTTGGTTTTTAAAAATAACCTTTCCCAAGTATTATACACATTATAGGAGTGGCTGTAGTGTGGCTATGGGGATTAATAAAGGCCACAGTATGCAGCCGAGCATTCTGGAGGACAGACACTGCAACTCAGCAGTGTGTTGCCACCTGGCCTGGGGATATCCCAGGAGACAGGACTACCACAGCACAGCCATAGTCGTGACCCGTGGTAAAGAGCTAGCCTTTAAGAGAAATTCTATTCTGTTTACGAAAGAAACACCTGGAAAGAGGTATGGCTGAACATAGACGTGAGGAAGGGAAGCATCCATCAAACTCCGAGAACGGTCTCTGGGCTGGGATTTCCTAGTCTGTGTCATCTCTTTGAAGGAGTGTGGCCATGCCCCCAGCATGTGGTCCCTATCCATCTTATACAGCACTTCCAGAAAGAAATGCTAACCAAACTGACTGATCTTTGATGTTTGGTCCAAGGAGAGAAGCTGGCCCTGGGCAAGCAGCCAATGCTGATACCTGAAAACCGGTGAGAAGATGGGATTAGGGACTTCAATGAACGATGACCTCCATTCCCAAGGGAGGACTGAGAGAGTGACTGGTAGTTAGCTGTGGTCAAGAACCTTGGTGCCGCCCCATGGGCTGCTCCCCAGTGGGCCTGGAGGTGTTCTTCATTCTGTCCTAAAAGTGCACCTCTGCTGTGGAGGCTGCCACTGAGCAAAATCTGCCAAAATTATTCTTGAGTTTGTCCAGCCTCTGGGGATGATGGACAGGCTCTGGTGAGGAGGAAAGGTCTGGAAGCTCTGGGTGCTACATGATAAGTCTTCAGTTCCAGACGTGGAGAGGAGCAGCTCACTTAGAAGTTCCTTGGCACCATGATGCCAGGTAGGGAAGATGACTAAGGTGCAGCTTCTCTTTGGGGAGCTTGACGGCTGTCCACCAACGGAGAATCCTTCACAGACTCCTAGATTCAACCTATTATCAGCATCACAATATCACATGATATTGTGACTGGAGTCCTCTGCTCTTCCGGGTACCATCTCAGTGAGGCGACATGACCTCTTAAGGGGCAGGTCAAGCCCTGTGACCCCTGCTGGGGTTAGATGGCAGCAGTCCCTGGGCAGGAATGCTCAAGTCCTTCTGCCAAGATGGAGGGCTTTGAACTAATAATCTCAAGTTTACTCAAGTCACCACGCCACAGGCAGGACACAGGCGTTGCCCATCACAGTCCAGCCCACAGAAAGCGACCGTCGCTACCACATTGTCCTACACAGCACCCGGCTTGGCTGGTTCCCTGGAGAAGCAAGGCTGTTCTGTCTTGGTTACTGTTTTCCTCTTCTATCTACAATCTCATCCATCCTTTAGGTTCCCTTGACATCCCTGGATGTGACTAGAAACCCTGCCCGTGTTCTGAATCACAGGGGCACAGTGAGGACATTATTGAAGAAACCATTACAACAAACTCTGTATTCCCTGGATGGTGAAGATTTTGAAACATAGGATAGATTTCTAAAGTTGTGTCAGGAATCCAAGAAGCAAGTTCTGATAAATCTGTCTAAGTCACATGTTGGCTTTTAATGCACTATATCCAAGGAATTATAAGTAACTGGAGAATTAATTTATTAATTCTAAACATCTTTTTGTTAAAAAGAAATTGTGTTTAGACTCCAAAACGTCCCTGTGTTTATAATTTCCTCCTCTTTGCCTTAATCTTTCTCTTTGCCTTTCCCCCTTTCTTCCTGTAGTTCCCTCCTCTTCCCCCTCCCCTTTCCTTTCTTTCCCCTCCCTCCCACTCCTGTGTCTCCTCGGTGCTCTCACCAATGAGTGCATTCATTGTCGAATGATCTAAAGCTTTTAGTTTTGTGGCCAGTTAGGATTTTAAAAAGAATTTTTCAAAATATTTTTGTCTAACTTCACTTTATGTTAGATTAATTTATTTTAAATAAAAAAGTTAATAAAGTTTTATTTATTGACTATGATATAGGTGTCATTCAATTTTGTCATCATGATTTTTTTAAAGATTCAGATATTGAATTATTCATACTTTATTAGGAATTCTATTACTGTGGGAGACTGTTTCAGATTTCTGAGCCCACCAGTGGCTATGGAGAGGTGCCCATATTTTACAAAGGCAATTTGTCAAGACAGGAGGCCTGGAACATCAGACATAATAAGTTACTGATTTCCTTCAAAATCAAGTCCAACCTGGAGCTGATTTTGACCATCAGAGAAGAGCTGGCAGGGTCATGGTCTGGGGTCAGGAGGCCAGGAGAAAACCCTGTGTTACCCTGAGCTCAGTAGTGGCACATGAGGTATGTTGCAATTCATGACGAAGAGTTAAAGCCACCTTCTTTAAAAGCAAGCACATAGGAGGTTTAGTCAAAATATCCTGGTGATGTAATTGCTGTCCTGTTCTTTCAAGGATGCTCTCTCAGCTAGGGAAGACTGAAGCCCCATTGGGCAGCATGAAATGCGTACAGTGAACAGCTTAATAATGTTCATGGAGATACTGTGGTGAGCTAACCTAAGTGACACACAGCCAGTGGGTCTGCCGATTAAAAATGATTGTGAGGTTTGGCAAGATGGCTCAGAAGTACAGGCACTGGCTGCCTGACAGTGGTGTTCTGATGACATGAATTTGTAAAGAAGGAAGGAGGGGCCTGACTCAGTAGTTGCCCTCTGGTCCCCAGAGATGCCCTATTGACATGTGTGCCACACACACACTGAAACGATGCTTCCCTCAGTGATTACAATATTTTACACTTAGGAAAATATTCTACTTTGTCATCATGGGCTATACCATGGAACATACTGAAATATCTTGATTCGTTTTTGAAATTTTTATTTAGTTTTATTTTATGTGTATGAGCCTTTTGCCTGAACTTGTCTGTATCTAATAAGTGTGCAGTGCCAATGGAGACCTTCAGAAGACGGCATCAGATCCCCCGGGACTGAGTTACAGACAATGGTGACCCACCATATCGATGCTGGGAATGGAGCCCTGGTTCTCTGGAAGAGCAGTCAGTGCTCTTAACTTCTAAGCCATCTCTCCAGCTTTAAATATCCAGATTTTTAAAATGTTGGGGGAAAAAGTAAGCACTGAATAGAGTCAAGAAAATATGTCCTGGAATTTGGAAAACATTTACAAAAGTTAAAAAAATAATAATTTTGGCCCCTGGACATGGGTCTCCAAAAGAGTACGAAAGATAAGAAGACAGCTCTGTAGATAAGAGTATCATACAAGCATGAGTTCCTACATTCAGATCCCCAGCATGTTGAAAGCCAGGCATGACCGTGTGTATGCCTGGAACTGACCAATAACTCCAGCAGAGGCAGGTAGGTCCTGGGAGCTTGCTGGCCAGACAGGCTAGTCAAAAGGGCGGACTTTCATTTCAGTGAGAACCCTACCTTAAAGGAGGAAGGCCGAAATATGACCTGCGCATGTGCTCTCAAGATTGTGTGCATCTGTGTGCTTGTGTTCATGCGCCACTCATGTTCATGTGCCGCGCATGCGTGCACACAGTATACATACGTATGGATGCACATCTGAACAGATGCGTGCCTGCACAGACACACTCATACATGCACACACATGCACACACCACAGAAATTAAGAGAATAGATAGTACAAAGAAAAAATTTAAAGACAGAAAGCTGATCAGTTTTACTGATGTGTTTATTTGTAATAGATTGTAAAACTGAGATTTAGATTAAAAAAAACTAGTAATAGCTAATTATGGATAAAGGTTATACTATGAATTATGGGATAGACTCACAATTCCAATAACAGGTATATCATCAGGTTCTGAATACATAATTGAATAAATACATAAAATAATATTTCATGATGGCTTATTTTTCTTTTGATACAAATTCTCCTTTTATATGCCAGGATGACCTTGAACTCACAATCCTCCTGCATCGGCATCAGCCTTCTGAGTACCAGGATTACAGAAAATACTGCATTACAGCCACTGAAAGAATTTTTTTAAACTCCAAAACTTCTCGGTGAATAATTGTGAAATAAAGAAGACTCCAGGCGATAGCTTGGGAGCAGTTAGTGCCTGTTTTGTCCTCTCTGCTGTTAAATGACCTGTGCACAGGACAGAAAGGGGGTACAGAGATTAGTGTGGGAATGTAGCAGAGCTGCTGTCAAAATGTCAGAAAAGCCAGAGGTGAACTGAGAATGCAGAAAGAAAGGGGAAAGGTGTGACTATGGGCCTTTTCAGTAGGAAGAATAAGGAAGACTAGGGTAAGGAAGATGAGGGAGAGACCTGGTCAGTCATCTTCATCATCTCAGACCATGAAGCCCAATATGGACAAGTTCAAGAGAACCGCCACATAGGCTGCCCACGCATGCCTCAGCACTGCCAGAGCAATCTCAGTGTAAGGAAGATGCTGGACCAAGAGCCCCTCGCCCATTCCCCTCCGATGGAAGGCTCGGCTAGCAGCTTCTCACATATGAGAACTGTGGCGCACCACACCCATCTGAGTTACATGCACCACCATACAGTTCGTGAGCAGGGCAAGGGGCTGGAGATTGAAACACACAAAGACACACT